GGTGTTGATCCATTTCTCACATAGCAGCTGTGCAGTTTTATGTGCATTTCAACACGGATTGTTTATTACAAGTGTCATTTGCTCTTTGTATTATTGGAGTCATTAGCTAGGAACCCATTGTAGCAGGCGCTATTACCACTTCACAGAAGTGGTTGCTATTACCACTTCATAGATTCATAGATGCTAGGGTTGGAAGGGACCTCAACAGATCATTGAGTCCGACCGCCTGCCTAGGCAGGAACGAGTGCTGGGGTCAGATGACCCCAGCCAGATGCCTATCCAGCCGTGTCTTAAAGGCCCCCAAGGTAGGGGACAGCACCATCTCCCTTGGAAGGCCTTTTCAGATTTTGGCCACCCTACCATGAAGAAATTTTTCCTGATGTCTAACCTAAATCTGCTCTCCGTCAGTGATCATTGTGATCATTGTTCCTTGTTACCCCAAGAGGTGCCCTGGTGAACAGAGGATCTTCGGTTCCTTGCTGCATCCCCCTAATGAATTTGTAGGTGGCCACAAGATCACCTCTCGGCCTTCTCCTGTGGAGGCTGAAGAGGTCCAGGTCCCTCAGTCTCTCCTCATAGGGCTTGTCCTGTAAGCCCCTAACCATATGAGTGGCCCTTCTCTGGACCCTCTCGAGTCTATCAACATCCTTCTTGAAGTACAGCGCCCAAAACTGGACACAGTACTCCAACTGCAGTCTGACCAGTGCCTCATAGAGGAGAAGTATCACCTCCTTGGACCTATTTGTCATGTATCTGCTGATGCACGATAAAGTGCGGTTAGCTTAGCTGATGATTTTGTCACACTGACAGCTCACGTTCATCTGGGAGTCCACTATGACTCTGAGATCCCTTTCTGCTTCTGTGCTGCTGAGAGGGTCACTTCCCAGCCAGGAGGTGTGCCAGATATGTTTGTGTCCTAGGTGCTGTGCTCTGCACTTGTCCTTGTTGTACTGCATCCTATTGTGTACCGCTCACTTTTCTAACCTGTCCAGGTCTGCCTGCAATCGTTCCCTACCCTCTGGGGTGTGAACTTCACCCCACAATTTAGTATCATCTGCAAACTTGGACAGAGTACACTTCACACCCACATCCAAGTCACTGGTGAAGATATTGAAGAGTACAGGTCCAAGGACCAAACCCTGCGGGACCCCACTACCCGCATCCTTCCAGGTTGATACCGGCCCATTACCACTCTCTGGGTGCAACCGCTAAGCCAATTTGCCACCCACTGGACTGTGTAATCACCTGTCACAGCCTCTTCACTTATTTATGAGAATGAGGCAGTGGTGCCTAGCACGGGCAAGGACTCAGTTATTGAGTCGATGCACAAATCCAGAACAAAAAGACAACCCCTGACTGAAGGACCTCCTGGTCCAAGCAGGAGAACTGGCATCATTAAGGAGATTGTGTCTCTCAACTTTTCATGCCTGGAGTTGAGAAACCAACCCATAGAGGGTGAATGATCTAGCACTGGAAGTCACTCCTATTGAGAGAACAAGAGATCCCCATTTGACCTCAAGGAGAGCTGTGCTTCTGTTCACTGGGAACAGGCTGCTGGAGATTAAATGAAGGTGCTAACGCTAGATGTGGTAGATAATCTGCAACTGCTGTTTGTAGGACCCCATTCAGCCCTCATTATGGTGGCTCTGTCAAGTAAGCAAATCTGTAGGTCCCGCTGCAGCTATAAGGCTCTGCAAGCTGGAAAACATGAGTTGTTTTTTTCTCCAAGGACTAGCAGACTGCCCTCAGCTGGACAGGACTTGATTGGTCCTGGTTAGTCATCAGCTCAAATGAACTTTGTGGATAGCAGGTTCCTTCAGCCTCTCAGCTTTCTTCAGGCTTTCAGATCATCCTCATTACTCTTTCCTGAACCCTTTGCATGTTTCGAAAAGCAGGTGCCAAGTTGAAAAGAGTGTTGTCCACTCCTCAGATCCAGAGAGGATCCCACCTGTTGCTTGATGATCTCATGTTTATGCATCCAGACATCACTTTCATCTTCCTTACAGCAATGCAGCACTGGGTAAAGGTGAACGGGTCTTTCTTAGGACTCCCAGCCAGGCATCTTCATCACTGAGCTACTGAGCCAGGCTCTTTTTGCTTCTGCTCCTTCTGGATCCATTATTCTAGCACTGTTGGTTGCACAGTAGCCTGTGTTCACCCAGAAGACATGGAGGGTACCTTCATGTGCCATATTTGATGACCTGGTGGTTAGGGTTTGAAGCCCCTCAGTCTAAGGAGGGTCTAGAACCCAGGTGGAAGAGCAGGTGCAGGCGGCATCTGGGAGGCTCTTGGGTTTTGCTAGCCCTGTGGTCAAGCAGAGAACTTGCTCAGTCTTGTGTGAGGGATGGGGGGCACGCAAAGAAGAGAACCTGGTGTAGGATCTCGCGGCTGCTCCCATGACATGGGCTAATGCTAATTCCATGGGGCATTTTAATGATCAAAGATCCCTGTGCTCTTCAGCCTTAGATGTAGGGGAGTGTGTGAGTTGGTTGCCCTGAGCTTGGGGAAAAGTGGCCAGTGCTTCTGTTGGACACAGGGTACAACCACTGTGATGTTCACATGGAATGGGAATCTAGGCCTTTGCAGTGCCAGCAAGGAGGGGATGAGGGTGGGGAGGGGAGTGGGAAGGGAGATCGTAGTGAAGGGGCTGATTGTTGGAAGGACCTGTGTGGGGAAGAGCTGGCTGTTCTGTGGAGTGTTATAGGATGGAGACAGCCTCCACCCCTACTTTATATCCTGTTTGGTCATTTGCCGCTCCCTCATCCCCACCCCTGCTCTTGTAGAAATCATAGAGAAGTCTGGCTGGAAGTGACCTCCAGAGGCCATCTAGTCAAGCTCCTGCCTGAGGCAGGATCATCCCTATGCAAACCACCCTGAACAAATGCATAATCTAAACTCAACCCTGATGTCACAACACAAGACATCAGTCCTGAACCTGCCACAGGTGAAGCAGGGGAACCACGGCAGCCAATGTCCTGCTGCTATAGAAATCCATATTCAAGAGATCCAAGGAAATGGGCCCTCCCCCCCCTACAGAGGAAGGCATCACACCCAGAGTTCATTCCAGTCTGACCATGGGGTGAAATTTGTTCTTGATCCCAAATTCAGCAATTGGTCTGACCTCTACCTGGGTGTCTACAAGGCCTAACAGGGTGGCCTTCATTTTGGCTGGAGCAGAGGCTGTCTCTGCTGGGTCTCTGCACAGTGCCCAGCACAAGGGGCCTTTGACTGAAGCTGGAAGTCCTGGGGGTGCCCATAGAAGTAGCCACAGCCAAAGCCCCATGGGTGGAGGAGGAAGTGGCTGGGTGACAGCTTTGGAGATGGGTGTCCAGGCCAGTGTCACGGACCAGCAGGAGCTGGGATATGGGCAGGCCAGGCTGGTGTGGAGGCAGGGGTCATGGGGTGGAGGGAGCTGCTGAGGCAAAGGTGTAGATCCTGGATGTGATTCCTGGTGGGGGGGCTGCTGTGTGTATGTGTGTGTGTGGTTGTGGGTGTTTGTGGGTGGGGGAGGTACATGTGTGCTGGTGAGTGTATGTGTGTGGGAGGGGAGCTTGTGTGTGTGGGTCGGGATGTGTGTGTGTTTGGATATAAGGAAGAGCCTGTGGGGGATGCAATGGGAAGCCAGTGTGTGTGTGTGTGTGTGTGTAGAAGGGGGGCGGGATGTGTGTGTGTATGGAGCTTTTGTGTGTGTGCTTGCATGTGTGTGTGTGTGTGTGTGTGTGTATGTGTTTGTAGAAAGGGGAGCCCACGTGTGTATGAGTGTGGGGAGCTGGTGTGTGTCTTTGTGTGTGTGTGTGTGTGTGTGCGCGTGCGCAGAAAGGGGACCGTGTGTGTGTGTGCAGTGTGTGTGTGTGTGTGTGTATGTATGTGTGTGTATAGAAGGGGGAGCTGGTGTGTGTATGCATGTGGGGCCCATGTGTGGGTGTGGAGGGAAAGGAGCTTGTGTGTGTGGGGGGGAGCCTCTGTGTGTGTGTGTGTGTGTGTGTGTGTGTGTGTGTGTGTGTGTGTGTGTGCGCGCGCGGTGTGTGTGTGTGTGTGCGCGCAGAAAGGGGACCCTGTGTGTGTGCACGTGTGTGGAGCCCGCATGTGTGGATGTGTGTGCATCCTCCTGGTTGGAGGAGAGCCCATGACCCCATGTGCACCGTGGTGAGGCCGGAGGCTGCAGGACCACAGGCAGCAGGGCCTGGGGCTGGGAAGCGGGGGTG